CCGCCGGACCTATGAGGGCGGCATCGGATCTGGATACGCTTGTGTTAAGCCGTGAGCGTGCTATGCGGACCTCTGGGGATTGCTCCCTGCAGACACAGGTGTCTGTAGCTGGACTGGTGTGTGACTTGTGTGTTTGGAGTGGGTCAGGCGTGACTCGGCCCTGGGGAAGCAGGTGGCCAGGCTGGAGCAGAGTGGGGGTTGAGCCGGTTCCTGGGCCCAGAGCGCTGCCTTCCCTAGGCGGGGGTTGCGTGTGGCCAGGCTCGGCTGGGTGGGAGAAGCAGCAGCCTGGCCCTGGAAAGGTTCAAAAGCGGCTGAGGGCTGCTCGGGGCAGCCCCGGGGGATGTGCCCAAAGGCCATCCATCCCCACAGCCCTCATGCCCTCCTGGCCACCTGCCTATCTGCTTTTCGGCCTGCCTCGCGCTGCCCGCCAGCCTGGCCGCGGGTCTGCCCAGCTGCCTGCTTTCCTGTTGTGCTGCCCGGGTCTCTGCGCATGTATCACGGCCTGGCGTGCCTCCCGTCGGTCCACCTGACTTTCCGCCCTGTCTGCCGGCCTCTGACCTGAGGCCTGCCCCCCTGCCCGCTTGCGGGCTGCCTCTCCGCTTTCCTGTTAGCCTGTGACACTTGAAATTTGTCACCTTGGGAGGCACAGTGATCCTAAGATGAAACACAGGAAAGACAGGTCTTTTTTTTTTTTCATGTTTATTTTGAGAGAGAAAGAGAGGGCACGTGTGTGCACACAGAAGGGGCAGAGAGAGGGGGAGAGAGAGAATCCCTTGCAGGCTCCTCACTGTTAGCACAGAGCCTGACACGGGGCTCGAGTTCCCGGATCTGTGAGATCATAACCTGAGCCGACTGAAATCGAGAGTCGGATGCTTAACTGACCGAGCCACCCAGGCGCCCCAAGACAGGTCTTGATGGGAGGTCAGGGGACTGAGAGAAACAGACCTCTGGGAGGGATCTCAGGGGGGCTGGCGTTTTCAAAGCCCCACGCGAGACACGACCCTGCCCCCTTCCCCAGTGGCCGAGCTGGGGATTGGCCTCAGCAGCTCTATTCCTGACAGTGGGGCCTCCCCACTGAGGGGGTTCAGGAGCTGATTAGGTCTCAGATGGAGGAGAGAAGGTGACCAACCAATGGCTTCCTCAAACCTGCCCAGCCCTCTGAACACCCTTTAGCCCTGGGACAGCTGCTGGGCAGAGGGCACAGTGGAGTTTGCACAATGAACAGTAACAGTTATGGGTACGAGTGCCCTCCCGGTAGCTGGTACTTGGCGAAGTGCTATGTGCACGTTCACCTTCAGATCCCCCGGTAACCGTGTGTAGTTTGTAGCATGATTCCCATTGTACAGAGGAGGAAAGTGAGGCTCAGGTCAAGCACGTGTGTGTGGTCATGTGGCTGTCAGGGGTGGGGTCTGGACGTGAACTTCGGAGCCCAAGCTCCCAACCAGCCTTCCACGGGGCGGTTTTAGGTCACGGTTCTCCACCCAGTCAGGCCCAAAGCCGCCTTTTCACCATATTTTATGTTGCTGCTTTTATGCCCCTGAAACGAAACTTATGGCTAATATACCCACCTCCACATCTAATTAAAAATACAACGTAATATAAACCAAAGGTAATGATCTGCGTTTGTGACAGGGTCAATTGCCGGGCAGGTGACAGCTCTGAGGCACTGGGACATTGCGGTGGTGTCACGGAAACAGTGAAGGGCTCTTGGTAAAGTTCTGAACAAGACCGAGTACCGATTTCCTCCACTTTTACACAGGGGTTGCGTTCCCAGAAGATTCAGTGTATGTTATGTGTCTGCCAGTCCTTTGTGTTTATGTATAAGAGGGAGTTAGATTCTTGGCTCTGGTCATTGTAAACAACTTTTCACTCATGTGCAGGATGTGGAATCTGCCTGCCTTGTGGGGCTGTCTCCGTATCCCCCCCCAAATGCCAGCAGCACCCCTGTCATTCTGATAAGCTCCCCCCAACTCCCTCGCCGCCACACAGATGCACAGCAAGGAGTCCTGCCCTCATGGAGCTCAGCGTTTGAGGAGGGAAGACAGATATAACTAATAATCCGATATAGGATCTGATACGAGGCTGTGAGAAGCCCAGTGGAGAAACACAGAGCAGGGTGAGGGGTTAGAGAAGGCCACATGTTCAGGGACAGCCTCTCTGAGGAGGTGACATTTTGAACAGAGGGAAGCCAGGGAAGGGGCCATGTAAGTATCTGGGGCAAGAGGCTTCCAGAAGTAATAGCCTATACAAAGGCCCTGAGGTGGAACCGTCCTTTGGGATCAGCAAGGAGCCCAGTGTGGCTGGCACAGGGAGTGAGGAGGGGTGGGGGGCCCACAAGTTAGAGGGAGGCCAGGCGTAGAGCCCTGTGGTGTGGAGCTAAGACACAGACAGACATCTGGATGTTATCCTGCATGGGATGGAAGCCATCAGAGGTGTCAGCAGGAGGGGGACAAAATCGGACTTCCCAAAGGCTCATTCTGGCTGCCGTGTGGCCCTTGGGCTGTTGTAGGGGCAGGGTGGGAGCGGGGAGAGCAGGAAGCAACAGGAGGGGCTGGGAGAAGTGGTCAGATTCTGCCTGGCTGGTGACAGGATTAGCAGTGGGTTAGCACTGCAGGAGGGGCAAGAAGTCAAGGCAAGGCTGGTTTTGGAACCTGAGCAACTGAGCCACCGAGACTCCATTCCCTCCTTTCCCCACCTCAGAGAGCTGGGCAGCTCCAGTCTGCCTTCCCTGATACGCTGGAGACCGCGAGGTAGCTAAAGCTGATAGAAACTTCTCAGTTCTTGTTGGACTTCTCAGGAGCAGAGGAGGCTGTTGATCGCCACCCCCCCACCCCCCGCCAACCTTTCTGGTACCTTCCCCTTCTGTGGCTTCCAGGGCTCACAATAAAAACGGAGGAGCCATCTGATAAGTTTAGATCAACGAACCAACAGTTCTGGTGCGCGAGCTGCACGCCAAGCCAGTTCTAGGTGCGGGGGACACGCTAGTCAGCAAAACAGAGTCCCTGCCTGTGTCGGTGAGTGGAAAGCCTGATCCATGCGTGTGCGCAGGAGACACCTGTTCACGGAACTGAGGCTGATCAGGTGGGGGGACAGAAAGGAGGGGGACATGGGGACGAGGCTCAAGCGCGGCCGCCGGCAGAGCCAGAGTGCGGCAATGGCGCGCTGGGGGCGGGCGTGCCTTCTGGCCGAGCATCCGGACAGCTCGACAGCCAAGTTGTGGGTCAGGTGAGACGGGGGAAATGTGTGTAGACTTGGGAGTGACCAGGGAGGTGGGAGCCACTTGGCTGCCGGGTGGGCGTGGTGGAGGGTAGGGGCGAGGGGCTGGAGGCGGCTCTGAGTACCTGTAGAGACCCAGGGCCTTCTCACTCTTGCCGTGTGGATGCTTGACTGGGAGGGGGCTCCTCGGCGTGGAGCTCTGCTCCTCTTGTGTGCGGGTTCCCCAACATAGAAATGCGTCTTCCGGGGCACTGTGGTGTGCCGAGGGAGGGGCCGGCCTACCTCCAGCGTCACCGCTCTGTGCTCCATCCGCAAAGTCTAAATTCAGACAAAGGAAGGAAGGAAAGAAGGAAGGAAGGAAGCCCCGTGGCTTCCTATGGAAGGGAGCAAGGGGGGAGGGCAGTGCAGGAAAAGGCCTGCCTGGCTCTTCTTACCGCAGTTGCCCTGGATGGGCCTGTGGGCGCATGGGCAGTCTGGCTGGCCAGGTCCCCCCGACCCCAGATGGTTGCTCCCACATCACTACTCTGTGAGCCGCGGCCGCTCCGGGCTGCCTCCTGCCTGCACCGGTCCTGAGCAGGCCAAGCAGGGAGAGCCCCCTGGGGCACTGGGTGGGGGTGCGCACTAGTGGGTCGCAGACCGCCTGGGGAGTTCCGGTCCCCCATCCAGGTGGTGGCGCTGGTTGGGCGACTGGGGGTAGGGGTGCTGTCCTGGGTTGGGGGGGGGG